GCAACGCTATGCTTGCCTGAAAATATTAAATCTTCAGTCAGAATCGATTGCTGACAATAATGACACCGCAGGGTTTTGAGCATGCTCGCTCGCAGTCTAAAAGACAAAACCACGACTCCCGGTGCTGGAGTTCCCATAGGCCACACGCCGGTGGCCAATGGGCACACGAAGATGTTGACGCATCTTAGAAAACTTGCTTTAAACGCCTTAGAACATCAACTTGTATGTTTACAGGGCAGCCCGGGCGCAAATTCGCCTGTGTGGTTTTGAAAACGTAACGAGAGAAGACTAGTATTTACAGAATCGCAACTGCTGTTGGAACTGGAAGAGCTTAGCTAAAATCTTAAATTTTCCTGTTGCTGTGATCGTTGATTTGTTCGGAGGACAGCTTCAGCATTGCAGAGGTGAAACAGAAACCCCATTCTAATCTTCGAGTGGTGCGAATTGATTTTAAAACACTCAGAATCCTTACTTTGGTCGTTCTCAACTATCGCTCTCGTGCGCCCGGAGCCCCGCGCCCGGTGTTCCCTGCAGTTACCAACGGCGTTCGGTTTTACGGAAACCGCAGCCCCGGCCCTTTGCTCTAAAGATTGTGAGCGCGCGAGCGTTATTATTAATATCGTTATCGACGTCTAATCGATATTGTTTGTTGTATGCGCTTTGCTTCCCTATTGCATTCTGCAAAAATGATGGACGCCCTCTTCAAAACGTGAGTTGGTGGTTTTCATGTTTTTCCCAATTTTGGTCAATTTTATTGAATATTTATTAACTTATTTCCGTAGGGGCAAGTTGGCAGGTAGAGGTAAAACACTAGGGAACACATTATCGTCATCGGTCAAGGACAGAAGGGCCTTTCCGTCCCAGAACAGGGTGCGAACCGGCTGCCATCTGGCGATACGGGCGCGGATCCCCTGGTCTATCCGAAGGCCCTTAGAGGGATACATCGTACCCTGGTCCCCTTCCTGACGCTGGAGGGTTTCTGACCCGGGGAGTTGAGCTCACATGGACGCAGGGGCCCTCACTGACAAAGTGAGATCCCCTGCCAACCCAACAAGATCCGTTATCGCCGCAGGTGGTCCAATAATCGGCACAAAGCCTCCAGTTCGGCTGAACGGGTGCCTTGATGAAATTGAGTGGATAGCCCCCGTTTGGTACTGGAGGCCCTGCCTGACACAGGGCTCTTTCATTGCCTCATTGTGGACACGTATCATAAGTTCGTATCTCCTTCTGTCGTCAAAGGGCCCCGACCAACGAAAGAGGCCCTCTGACACTGTGGGTTCCGTCCCTGTTCCTGTTCAAGCAAATATTCCTCCGTCCGATTCGGGGCCCCGTGCCGGCACGCGGTCCCCTGTTAGGCACTGTGGGCTCCTGGCAGGCACAGAATCCCCTTTTGGTTTCAAGGCACCCGACCAATGCAAATCGCGGTCTCCAGCATTGTCCCTGCATGAGAAATGGTTCCTCAGGTCAAGACCGACAAGGAGCTGGCCGTTCGGGACCGGTGGTGCCGGACCAACACAGAGGCCATCATCGACTCAGGGCCACAAATAGACGCAAAGCGCCCTATGAGTAGCATTTGCCGACCTGTGAGCCAGGCTGTTTAACACGGCCTCCGGCCAGTCTTTCGGGCGTTTTCTGGCGCTCAAATCAGGCCCTTAATCGACGGTCCCAAGGGGTCCTTCTGGGCCTTCGGGACCTAGGCGGGGAGGGAGGGGGGAGACGCGCTCTGTGTCCCCACTCCGTGTCTGCGCTACTGTTCGTGATGAATCTAACTACTCCCAGTCCTGAATCATTCGTAGAACACCGCCCGTAGTTTCGATAGTTCTCGCAGGGAAAATAAGCTGTTATCGTGTATGGTTAGAGCGGTTGGCACCGTGACCCCTCCAGGGCAAGCCGCAAGTCATCACCTTGGCAACGCGACAGCGGGTGCGCCGATCAAAGCGCCCACAGGCTGGCATTGATACGTTATCTGACCGGCGCCTCTGGCTATCAGTGCCGTTCCCGCCGGCTGCCCCACCGGATTGTGACGCAGCCGCGCACTGCCTGCCAATGTGGCAAAATCGCCCCCGGAAAAAGTGCGACAAGGACACTAAACTTAGCAGAAAATGCAAGGGATCCATGGATGGGAGGCTGGAGTTTAAAATAGATTACTTTGAGAGCCCGAGGCTCCGCAAAATGTTGAATTTTGAAGCACTGCTCGCACGCAACGTTGCATGCAAAAGGCAGATGGACAGAAGTAACGTGGCGTGACGTGACGTGACGTGGCGTGACGTGACGTGACGTGGCAGACGTGATGTTGCTGCGTTACAAGAAGCGATGCCATGTCACGAGCCGGCGTCGCCGCGCGTGCGTAGAGCTAGGGACCGGAGGCACAGCCAGGACGTTCTTAGGGGAGGGGTCCGGAGCTCACTGAGCACGCATTTCGCCGATTTCTAACTATATGTCAGGACCTCTCTATGGTGAAGAAGGAAAAATCCACCCCTGTGGAGGAGGCCCAAGCCCCTCCGTCCCTCCCTTGACTGCGCCCCTGCGAACGACCACTTCGAAGAAGGGCGTGACGGGTTGGCACTGAGCGTCTTGAGTTAGACAGCGCATGATTTCTGTGGTGCTGTGTGGACCGAAGTGGCGGCATGAAGGCATGAGTTCCTCATAGCGAATTCACAACGAGCCAGCGGCAAGTAGGAATGTGACATTCTGGGTCGACTGTCAATGCGAATGAAGGGGTGTAACACGGGTGTCTAAAACGGGCAAGGCAGATTTTCTCACTCAGAATAACGTTCTGATGCACGTGTGCACATCAATTCTCGTGTGACACATAATGTGACACATTGGTGATGCGTGTGACACATGAAAATCGACAAACGATGGTCTAAAATCGCACGGAACTCAAAAGCTAGTTCGCTGAATGCTGCCTAATTTCACAGACGTCGTGACTAACAACGTCTTCAAGAGAGGTATTGCCAAATCGCTATGGCACGCTTTGAGTGCCAAAGCCGAATCAATTAGTCCTCATTGCACCGATAAATGTCCCTACATCTTGAACAGCGTCTTTGCTCGTGCACGCACGTCTATCCTTCAACATTAGATCAACGACCGCGATGGCACGGAAACATGCCTAACCAAATAAGATGTGTTCTGGCATTCAACGTGTTTTTTTAACGGGTGTAAACTTTAAGCCACGTGCTTTCCTTAAGATGCCTCCCCAGTGCAACAAGGGCTTAAATTGTGAAATCAAGCTTATCAAGATGTAATGGATTGCGTAAACTAAAGGCATGCCTAATTCCACATGCATAAAACTGCGGTATCTTTTCCTCGTTCATATCGCGTTTCCTTCATGCACTCCGTTCGCTTGTCACGTTGCAAGTTTTCGAAACAGTTGGCTTTAAAACTAGTCCTAGGTGAGGAGAAATAATAAAAAGGCAAAAGGATTTTCCAATGAGACCGGTATTACAGCATCATTGCGGGACTTAATCTCGTGGTGCCGCAAGCTAAAAGTGCAATGCCAACTTTTTGTATTTGCTTTGCATTGATTGGAGATAACTTGTTTTTCAGGTACCGACGGCAGGGACTACCACGACTTGCGATGGGATAATTTTTACAGGCCAGCCCCAGCCCATTGGCAGTACTTGTGCACGGCGAACAGACTAAAAAAAACCCACAATGATTGGTGCAGAACGTAGCGTATCGATGAGCTATCAATCTTGGTTCGCCCTGGTACATTAATCAATTGTTTCAGCTGCACACCATACCTATGTGCTCGCCTCGCTATCCGCTAGCCTTCTTTTAAGTTAGACTTTTGGGATCTACAAGCCACTGTCTATGGTGGTGCCTATAATCTCTAAAATCAAGATAGCTTTCCTAGTCACCAGATTCCGGAATTATATTCAGTACTCGCGGTGAAAAACCGTGCTTGAACTTGACGGAGGGGGGATAGGGTGCTTAAACACAAGACTCAGAGGCCCGCCCCTCTGGGCTGCACTACTGCTTACCACGCCTTAGGCGAAGATAAAAAAGTTGCTTTGGCAAGGTCCATCCCTTCAGCTATCTCTGGCGAACAAGCTGGTAAGAGAATGGTTTCAGATACCCACCTGGCTTAGTTTGGATTAGAGCCCTTTGGTCATTTTGAACATTTCAGGCCTATGGGATAAAAGTGAGCGGATAATGGTGTGACAATACTACATGGTCCTCCTGGGGGGTCCTCCGCTGAGACTTGGTCCACACATGGACCCATCTTCGGGGTCGGTGGGAAGAGGGGGGGGGGGGGGGGGAGAGCGCTCAGGCGGGCCCCGCCAGGGGGGGGGAGGGGCACACGAGACCGCTCATGGTGGGCGCAACTAGCTTGCCAGGGGCACAAGGGCCGACGCAGAAAGCAGGACGAAGCGCAATGACGAGAGAAGGGCGGCTTTCAGATGCGCATCAAGTTGAACCAGCTACAAACGCGGGGAAATGTTCCTTTCAGCCTCACTGCCTTCCCAGTCCGGCTTTTGCATCGATCGAGTAAGAAACCTATTTTCGAAACTTAGTAATGGTGAGGGTATGGAAGAATTTTTCAATAAGACACATACGTTGTGACATATCACATGTTTTTTAGACAAAATGCTCTATGTCTTCCACTACCGAATAGATGAAACAAAAGGTCAGAGATGTGCACAATAAAGGGATGCAAAGCTCGATCAGTGAACAAGGGCGCGCCTATCAAAGTACGCCGGTCGTAAAAATGCAACGCAACACGCTGCAATTCGAGTGAAAGCTGTCAAATTCGAAACACAGAAACACCGCAATCGGATGAATTGTCGCAAAAGCGCTCTCAAACGTAAAAGCACTGAGATTCGCGCGCGTGGCACCCGGATGACGCGTGCGGGAGTGGGCCGGTCCAGAACACGCCTCCAGTCGCGGCGAGCGCCAGCGGGTGAACGGATGTAGACGTAGATGCGGCCACAGTCAGCGGATCGCCCAGGATACCGAGTTGACGACTTCACAGTGACCTCCGGAGCCCAGCCCACCTTTTAAGTCATCCTGCTGGATCCTCTGCAGGAACTTCTGCCGCAGAGTTTCAGCGTCATCATCTGTGACGTCGTCCACCGAGTATAAGACTGGCTCCGGCATGATGGCACCACACTCCGCCGCCGCCGCCGCCGCCGCCGCCGCCGCCAAGCGCACCACCCCACCGTCCTCACGCCACGCGACTGCCAAGGACCGCACGGCACCACCGCCGCCGCCGCCGCCGCCGCCAGCTGGCCCCCTGGCACCGGGCCCGGCAAGTCTGCTCACCTGACCGTTGTCACGGCAACCGGGGTACGCCGCGCGTCCATTGGTCAGTGCGACGGGCGAGTGCTGATGGTGGAAGGGGGATGCGGTCACCATCAAGGGCGGGATCTGCCTGTGTTGTGAATCCGCCTCGCTGTGTGTTGGCTTCCCCGGAGTAACAACTTCCGCGCCAGTCGATGCAGCTGCCACGGGGGCTCTGCATTTGTGTTTCCAGGTGCGGGAATAGGGTGGCGGCTGACGACGTCGCGCGGCCAGCTTTGGGCCCGTCGTGGCACGCGTCGCTACCCGCCGAAACGTCGTTATGGGGCCCCTGTCCAGGGACGCGAAGTAGGCTCGGTCCCGACAGAATTGTAGGCGAACATCTCCGATAACCAGGGATACGCTGAAACTAATCAACGATGGAAGGACCAAGCCGCCAGAAGCAAGGTCCGGTTCCACCGATTTGGTTACCTGCCAACACTTGGCATGCTAAGGTGTTATATCGTGGAGGTGAATGTGAGCATAATCATGGCCAACCACCCTATCGTCGCCATTGGAACTTCACGGCACTCAGCTGCTGAGGCTATGTGGCATCGCCTGCTTTTCGCCCTGTCAGAAAGGGTGGGCACCGAGGGGAATCGAACCCCGCACCTCTGGTTTCCCAGACGCGCGGTTGTCAACGCAGACGCGTTAACCACTACACTACCGGCACCCTCAACCACCTTATCGAAGGTCATATGCTACAAAACGTGATCTACTGTAGCCACGTCGCCGTCTTGTTTTGTTGGGCATGAGGTTCTTGCGCGACAGCAAGGGAGCATTGGGAGCTGTAGCTAGAGGCCGGTGCGCGGGCGGTAAAGGCGGATTCCACGAGGTGATTGAGACGGGGGAGGTCAATGCGTTTGTATTGCTCGTTTCCACGCGAAGTCATCAGGGCTTCTAATAAGCTCATGCATGGATGTGGGGAGGAGCACCCTTTCCTCCCCACTGGCACCGTTTCTAGCTGTAGAAATCGACCTGGACCATTCGACTGTCCGGTATTGTTTTGTGGCTGCCCACCCAGCCTGCAAAATGCCAGTACGTTTAAACCTATCCCAGTCGGATTTTTTATTTAACGTGTCCTTGCGGTGCCTCCTAAAGGAGCTCGTCTTTGTCGATGTATACCCATCAATAGGTCATAATGACAACGTAACTAAGCGCTGCCCAGGCTTTAAACACCTTTGGTACAAAGGAAATGGATGTCAGATGTGTTGCGTATTTTGTGAGGCAAAGTCCTTTGTGTATAAAAGAGCGAGATAAGCGGTGATGCGCTTGTGAACAATATAATGGCCACTCTCGTTTTTTTTTTTTTGCCATTCTTTGTAATGACGAACACATGTCAAATCTTGATCATAAAAGAGCCAATCTGTATTTAGCCGACACTCCTAATCCAAACCGACACCGCGCGATCGGCCGCCGCGTCCAGTCCGCGCGTTTGTCCTAGCTGTATACCAACAAGCACGACGTGATCACCTCCGCTCTCCCCCAGACGGAACAGAACTTCAGTGGCGGCACGCAGAAGGCCCCTTCGACCAACTGCCAGGACTTGCCTGCCAGGTGATTGTTCGGTGAAGATATAGTGGTGGGCGGAGGGTCAGTGTGAATGGTCTTTCCATCTGGCCGCATATTAATCAGAAGTTTCCTAATGCATGCATGTGACCTCCCGACAGGCGGTGATTCGGAGCGACCATGAGGCGCTTTGTTTTAGGTGGTGTTTAGCAGGATGCCACATCTCCATGGATGTTGAAGTACATACACACGGAAATAGCTCAACGTGAATAGTGCGCGTTCATTTATAATGAAAGTATGAAACGACGATATGAGATGCAACGCATTTCTACGGATTTTTGGTGCTTAGAAATTGGGCTTTGTTGTAGAATGGATTTACCCTTTTACTCGTGACTATGACTAAAGCTTCGAAGTGTTGAGTCAGCCTCAATGCAACGAGCGCTTACCCGACAATATCGTTTAGCCAATACCTTCTGGTATGCTGAAGGGCCCTCGTTTTCAAAATAAGTGCTTCCAACTTTTACGGCCGAAAAACCTGGAGCTCAAGCCCATTTTTTAATCCTTTCACAGGGAGCTTTTTACTGCTTCTTGCTATGCGCGTGACAGGATGGGAATGTGAGCTCACATAATGGGGGTAGCCATGTGATCAGCTGAAATCACAAATTACTGACATTTACGTATCCGACTGCACGTTACGATATGTGCCGTGATTATGGCGGTTTTCACTTGGGGGAAGTGCGGTGTGCTGTCTGTTGGCAGCTAAAATTTTTACTCGCGATCAGCAAAAATGGGCTTGAGCTCCAGGTTTTTCGGCTGTAAAAGTTGGGAGCACTTATATTGAAAACGAGGGCCCTTCAGATCGCGAGTAAAAATTGTAGCTGCCAGCAGACAGCACACCGCACTTCCCCGAGTGAAAACCGCCATAATGACGGCACATATCGCAGCGTGCAGTCGGATACGTAAATGTCAGTAATTTGTGATTTCAGCTGATCACATGGCTACCCCCATTATGTGAGCTCACAGTCCCATCCTGTCACGCGCATAGCAGGAAACAGTAAAAAGCTCCCTGCGAAAGGATTAAAAAACAAGGGGCGTAAACGGAAACCAATGCCTTCCAGCTACTGGAGCCATTACCTCATGAGAAACCGCATGGCCCGTGGTTGGATCGCATGCGCAGAGTGGAACAGGCCTTTCTTATAGCTATTGCACGGTCTACCATCCAGCAATGTCGTGTCATAACATCCGTTGGAAGATCGTAAAGAAAAATGTATAGCGCAAACATCCACGAAATAAAGGCTCTGCATGATACCTACCTAGGGATCTGCAATGGCCGATGACATTTACTTTCTCAAGGCGCAGCCTAGTTTCAACCCATGCTCTATCCTCAAGCGGCACGAGTACCCGCAAGCGCCACACGGCCATTTGTCATGCGCTGCAAAGACCGCTAAAAAATAAATTATTTACAGAAGTATGTGCAACATATGGACCGCCTCGTGCCCACCAGTTGTCGTGTCTCTTGCCAGCAGAAGAAGTTCCATTTGATCCACAGCCATGACAAGTAGCCTATAAACTATCACACATGCGAGAGAAGATGACTACACCTGCTGCCGAACCACCAGTGCAGCTGCTGAGGGAGTTTTGTGTCGAGCTGGCACCACCTCTCATCAACATATTTCCTTGACCACTTCAGGAAGGCCAGGTCCCATCGGTCGGGAAGAGGGCAACCGCCATACCAGCTCCTAAAAAAGCAACACCAAAGTCGCCAGGAGATCCGCGGCTGCGAGCCCTACACTTGCATTAGGCAAACCTTTGGAACAGGCCGTTGTTCCTCTCATTCCGGCCGACATAAAGCCGGAAACAGGAAACAGCAAAACGCCAAAACGGTAATGTAGGGGGTGCCTCACGTCCCACCACTTGATAAGATTGCTGCACAATTTACTCTCTGAGGTGAATAAGCCAAGCAAGCTTTTTCTCTAGTTTTGCATGGTTCTAAGAAAAAAAATTGAACTCATTGGCCATTCAGTTGTAGTACAAAATATGCTTAGCATGGGACTTCGCTTTGGCTATGCAAAGCGGTTGACCGCATTTCTCCAGAGCCGAAAGCAGAGGCTGAAGATGCCGGATGAAGCAATTAGCGGTTGGAAATCAATAACTTGCGGCACACGACAGGATACCCTGGTTGGACCGGCTACTTTCTTAGCTATGATCAACGGTGCCTTCTGAGGCAGAATACCGCTTTAAACATGTAGATGATTTCACAACATACCAAGCATGTCCAACTGACCGAACTGAGGAACACAGCAGGCTGCTAGACCAAACTCACCAACTTTGAGGATGGTAAGCCGCGAATAAGATGGTGCTGATGACCTAACACTGAGAAGTGTTAGGTCATGCAAGTTTTTACGGCCAAGAAATCCCTGATATTCCCGGACATCGTAATCGATCGGGTCAGCCTACCAATCGCTGGAAGTACTTAACTTTTACGAGCAGCAATATTCAGCGGTATGTTTTGGCGCACATATATGGATGAAATTGTGAAGACGGATCCTAAGACTTTATACATGCTTCACGTGATGAAAAGATTTCGTCCGTCACGAGATCAAATGGTTAAAATTTAGATCACGTATGCTCGCCCACTGCTTGAACAACCTGCAACCATTTTTCATCCAGGGCTCACCGGCCACCAAGCCCAACAAAGTGAGCGAGCACTGAAGAGAGAAGTCAAAATCATTATCGGGCATGACAAGGGTTATCAACGGCTTCTACAAACGCTAAAAAAGGAAACCCTTGCAGACAGGCGGGAGAAGCTGGTTTACGGCTTGGACTGAACATCCCAAGATCCCCAAGGCATGAAGACATGCTTCCACCGCCAAAGAGTAATCTCAGGAATCTCAGGAAGAAACACTCCTAGTGGTGATACGCTGCAGACATTTTCCTGTGGCGTAAGACTGCGCAAATCCAGCACACCTTATATCAAAACCATCATATACCTGGGCATCATTGCAGCTAGCTGAGTAAACCTTGAACCATACTCACCGCTGCATCCGTGAAGACGTTTAATGGATGTTAAAAGGTTATTCAGTACTTACACACAATGCTTACCTGCGTGCCATATGAGTTGATACTTAAAGCCATGCTTTTACAACGTATAAATATGTCAACACGTGAAAACATATATATATATATATATATATATATATATATATATATATATATACATTGTAAAAACATGGCTTTGAATATCAATTCATATAGCACGCAGGTGAGCATGATGTGTAAGCACTGGGTAACCATTTAACGCCTATAAAACGTATATATATATATATATATATATATATATATATA